AGGCAGTATCGTGGGCGCGCACTGCTGAGGAGTCCTATGTAAGGACGAAACGGCCGTCCAGTGCTTCCAGGTTTTCCATGGTGGTCTAGCTTCAATTGACTTATAATCTCAACTATTAAAATTATTATCCACAAAAACCTCTTCTGAAACTAATAAGATTTAGTTTATAAAAGGAGGAACTTTAAAATTACATATAGAACACGATTTTACAAATCATAGTTCTCTGAAACTGAATATATCTTAAACAGGTCACATTAATATATATCAGTTAAAAGTCGGACTGAGAAAGTGGATAGCGACTGTTTTGGTAAGAACTTCATAAGTGAATTTCAAGGTACATAAAAACAGTTCATAATCCCCTATAGTAATACATTTCGTCCAAATTTTGTTCATATATTGTTTTTATTATTAATTTACTTGTAATTAATGTATGCTTTCTTTATCAGTAACGTTTGTATCAATTTTCTGTGGATTTCTTACACTCTGATTACTTGAAATATTTAAATAAAGAGAAATCAACAAAATTTGCTGAATCGCATTAATTTACTATATTTCAAGGCTTCTCATCAGCTACACATGGCCTAAAGTTACATAAGCAATATCACTATTTTAAGTTCAACATAGCGCAGTCAATGCAGTTTAATTGGAAACGACGTAAAAAACGAGAGGAAATACTATATACAAGGTAACAGTTAAGATTTATTAGATGTTTTCATATGAATAGCCGAATAAAGTAAGAAAATATGGACTTCATTCGCATGTGCAACCTAACTGAAGGGGTAAACAAAAAATCTCCAAATCTTGTAAAGAAAATGATACTGTCCAGTTAGTTAGTTGAAATAAATAGTCTACGTATACTGTGAAATAATTGAAGGCTCTATTATTTGACTGTTTAATTTAAATGATACATTAGTTGTTACAAGAAGTTATATTCTGAATTCGACCCCCTGTGTTGTTATTGGTATGTACAATCGAGGAGCCGCAGACGGGGACGAAATATCTATCCAGTGTTCGTTGATCCTCACAAATTTGCTAGCTGATATCAGTTAGTGATGAAAAGTATTTTTAGATGTGAAAGTACACTTCAAAAACTTTCCTCCAAATAAAAAGAATTCTTATAACTGGTTCTTTTTAACTTAATATAAATTGTGTAATTAGAATTACTTAATAAATATAAAAGTTTAAAAGTGTTAAGCTTGAAATATAAAAATACTATTTCCTTTTATTATTAAAGTAAAAGTGATACATGTTATCTGATGTACTGTGTTTAATTCTTCCCCAAAACACTTAATATTCCCATAACAGAAAAAGAACAAGCTTTTGCTAATTTACTGCAGCTTGTAGATGATGGAATCATTGTTAAAAAATTACCAACCATAAGAACTTTAATTAATAAGTTCACTTGGTATTGTTTACTTGAGTCTTCCCATTGATGTTTAGGACTGCAATCGATCAGTCTGTTATTGGCATGTGTGCATACTGTGCGCATTGCCTCGATATTTCCTTAATTCTCAAGCATTCTAAGCAAAGATGGATGGTGGCTAGCTAAGTGGATAACGCTATGGCGTTTGAAGCGAACGGTACTGGGTTCGGGTTTTAGAGTGAACATCGCGTCTGAGATGCAGGTACATCCAGCTGATGACTCTTAAATAGGATGAAATGCAGGTCCTAGATTCCACTGCTAGTCACTATTCATCTTTGCTTTTAATTAATAAGGTTTAAAGTGGTAACTGTCAAATAAATATTCCCATCACAAGTTTATAATAATTAAACATTACAAGTGTCTCTTTGGTAATGTTAAGCAGATTTTTAATGATTTTAATAATATTGAGAATTTATGGTCGATATAAGTGTATCATTTCCTTTCAACGATATGATATATTCAAAATGTTATTCACAATTCTTTTTTAGATACATCAGCAGAATAGAATGTACCTTTTTCTAAGATTAAGAATTACAATTTCAGTGCTCAAACTTCTAGGATGAATCCCACCTACTGTTACTGATTATAAACAATTCGTATTACAATATAACTTGGTTCCTGTTAGAATAGACTTTTCTGATTCTAAAAATGGTAAATATTCCAATGAAATGTAACATTTTCTAAATATGATATTAGAAATGTTCTTTCGTTGTGGATTTCGAATTGTTAGTTTATATTAATTTAGAAAATATTGAAATAAATATCTAGTGTTACTTTATTTTTTATAGTTGTTTGGTATTTAGTATGAGTTACGCAACAAATTTATTGTCAGTATTCTCTAGTAACCTGTCTCAAAATAGCAATACTACATTCCATTTACAACCTACCACATGTTAGCCCATGAACACCGTATATCAGGTATTGTCAACAATTTTGATGGAGTATTGTTCTCTGAGCTGGGTGGTTTGGTCGTGGCGCATTCATCGATGACCAAACCATCCAGCTCAGAGAACAAAACTCCATCAAAACCATCCACCTGAGCCACAGATCTTCTCCACCATTTCAATTTCAAGAATTCCTAACTTGCAACATTAAAAATGCTAGCCATAGAGACCCAGTGGTTTGAAAACAGGGTGTTGACAAGTACTAGAAGACGTTTCTTCAAATAATAATGAATTTCATTAAAAAATGCTCTATAAGATGCAAAACTGATTCATCATATTAGTAAACATGTTAATCTTTTGCATTTAGTTTTTTTCAGGATTTGATGTATGTTATATCAAAATTATTTTTCTTAAAATAATAACAGACTGCACAACTGAGTAACAAATCATTTACCTGTGATCTGTCCGAGGACAAATAGTCCGAAGTTTTTGTTGGAAGGCATGGTGTGTGAGAATAATAAAAAATCAGAAATTCTGGTGAACACCCATAGATGATAGTATACAATAGTTACTCTATGTCATTGAGTTAAATATGTAAAACATTAAGTTGTGATGGCGTGTTTATCAAAAGACCTGGGACATTCGAAATTAATTTTCTATATAGTTAAGCATACCCACTTCTGAACTTCTGAAAACCAATGGTCGTGACTACCTGAAGTATACTGATTGGAGAAACGAGATATGATCGATAAGTTAGCTAATTTAGCATCAGGATCAATTAAACTAGATCTTAAGTGTTTTGATTTGGGATAATATGAAGTTTTTTGTGCTAGGTTCCCTCAACTGAACAATACAAAGGAATTTATGCAGCCTATAGACACTATTACATTACATATTATAGATACAGATAATGTTGTTCATTTCGGGAATGTAAATTTGTTATTGACACTATATCACCCAAATTTTCCTTCAACTATGACGCCTATAAAAAGCAACTTTTATATCTCTACTGATTAAGACTAGATACTTTCATAAATCTGCTACTTACCCAAATAAAATCTAATCAAGCTGTTTGTTTACAATACTACACTCTTTTATTTTATTAGATATTGACAATTTTGTTGTAAAGGAACTAATTGAACACCAGAAAACTCGCCATGATTAATTAAAAGAACTCGAAATAGATATATTCATCATAATGACCGAAATTATCAGCATATTTCACCGTCCTAGCAAGAGTTATTCACTCATCGATGTATAGAGTTAATTTTATAATAAACACAATAATGCATGTATTACTCATGTCTAAGACCATACTAACTAATAATATGGTAGAAAAATCCCACAATATTTTACATGAATAATTTTCATTTAAATGAACATACATTCTCGATTACATACAGTCCGAATAATAACGAACCTGTTAAATGTTTGATGAAGTGATCTATTTTTCTAAAATTTCAATTGTAAATAAGAATAAAACGAGTGAATATGATTGATAAGGAGGATATTACTAGATCATGTGTTTCCAAGTAAATACATCATACTGTGTAGTAAAAATTTATGTAATTTAACAGTTGAATTCATGGTTCGATTAAAGCTAGACCACCATGGAAAGCCTGGAAGCGCCGGATAGGCGTTTTGCCCTAGTATTGGACTCCTCAGCAATGCGCATCCACGATCCCGATCCCGAGATTCGAATTTATGTTCTGGTAAGTTAAGAAAAATGGTGATTGTATCATATCATAAGATTATACCTCTCTTCACAATGTAGTCGTGTTTTATCAAGTACAGTAGGTTTTACCTTCGGAAAGGTAAATTTTAAACATTAATCAAAATTAGTCCGTAAAATAAGATGTTATCATGTAATACACATATACTCAAGATACAGTCAGTTAGCTATATCCACTCCAGTTTGAAACAACTTGACAGTTTTAAATCATGAATTCTGCCAATTCCATCCAGTGATTATATAGTTAAATTAATGTTAAAATCAGTTTTGGAAAGTAAATTTTATTTTATGAACTCGTTGAGGTTGAGGTGGTGCGCAATAAATTCGAGGTCATTCAAGGGTACTTTTAACTGTAGTTAGCTTTAAGGTACCTCCATTTAATGTAATCAAAATCATCCACAGAGAAAATTTTATGGTTTAGAATAGCCACAATAAATATTGTTTTTCAAAGTTAGTTAAAATGAACAGAGATTTTTCAATTCGACACTTCTAATAAAAACATGAATAACGATAAATGTGATGATAATATCAACAGGCTTGAGAACAACTTATTTGGAGCTTAATTTATTATCTCTAAAGTTAAATGTAAATGTTTATATTCTGTTGTTCATTCTTTCAGTCAATCTAACCTTCAATTAACATTAATGAGTATATAATTAACATGTTTGATAATATAAACAATCTAATTATACGATATATTACTCGAAATTTATTGAATTTATTAGAAAGACTTCTGACAGTGCTACACAATAAAGGCAAATTAGAGTCCCACTAACAACAAATAAACAATCCCCTGATCTGAATGAACTATTACAAAAGCAAATTTTGACTTATTTTAAAGATTACTAAATTTATCTTCACATAGTTAACCATTAATAATGTGAATTTAAATCTGAAAATTATCAAAAACTCCAGAGCTGAATTTCAGTGTTTGTTACTTATGAAAGGTAAAATATATTCATTATCTTATAGAGTATGAAAAATGTAAATAGTGTATGGTAAAACTTACATAAATATTATCTAAATATGAGGATATTGATGATTTGAATTCATGTTGATTGGGGTATAATTCAGAATAGATAAAAGACGGGCTATTTTTCATAGTTGAAGAACTATCATTCATATATCCCATACAATAGATAGAATTATTATTATTGTCGACAGCTTCATTAATCGATTGACTGATGGGAAATTCGCTATCTGTGGTGGGCTGTATGGTAGTCGGTGATGGTGATGACGATGTTGAGGTTGATAATAAGTTGAATTTACGACAGGTGACGGAATTTACAGTATGTAAATGATGATTCTGATGTTGAAGTGGAGTCTGATCGTACTGATGATCTGGTACATAAGGAATATGATGCTGATGATTATAATGATTATTTATACATCGATCTGACTGAGAATACTGCTGATTATTATTTTGATTTAGAGGATTTTGATGCTGTTGATTGTGATCAAGAAGGGGTAGATAATCCTCCTCCTCCTCCTCTTCTTCTTTCTCTCTCCGTTTTTCATGTTTATAAGTATATTTTGAATAGTTTTCATCATAGTGTTTCTTCAGACCACTGTTATTCGTAAAAAGGTTGAATAACTTTATTGTATCCGGTAATGTATTACTGTGTAAATTTGAATTTAATTCAAAATCCGATTGACTAGTCGATAGTTTTAACGATGTAGCTGTTCTTACTAATCTTGATTCTTCTGTTATCTCAATGGATGGTCGTGCTATTATTGTATGTGTTTCCGATGTGTCTAATATACGCCTTAAATAGGCGATATAACCAGCAGCTAGTTTTAAAGTATCTAACTTGGAAAGTTTTGTATCTTTGGGAACCCATGGGAGTGCGCCTTTCAGTTCAACAAATGCACCAGATAAGACACGCATTCTAGATCTTTCTCTAGCGTTCGCTGCACTTCTTTGCGCAACTGTACTGTTTAAACCTGGTTTACGTCCTCTCCGTTTACCATTTGGTGTAATTAGTAGGGTATTACTATAGATAGTGTTGTTAGAGGTAATAGTCATGTTGGGATTGTAAGGTGTATGATTTTTTATTTTCCCAGTCATTCGCTTAATATCATAAAATGTATGTTAAAATGATTTTCAGCAATTATGAAAATATCCTAAATCTAAGATTTCTAAGGGATTAATTAAAAAGGCGGAATTATCAACCAATCAGAATGCAGATTTATTAATGTTATTTTCTCATTGGGTGATACTAACAATTCAGTTGCAATTAATTCTAATATAACGTGGGTTAGCGAGAAAAGTATATGGCAAATTTTCTATCCCTAACTTTCATTTACAAAAACAATGCTTCAACAAAATAGGAACATACAGAAACGATTATGGTGATGGGCGAGTGGTGTTAGAAACGATCATAGCCAATAAAAAACTAATATAAGAAGATCAATCTTCCCAACATAATGTGAAAATATGATCAGTACATAGGTCAAGGTAAATTGTTGAAAGTTAGGGAGATCACAAAATGGGCGAAATTAGATAACAGCTGAAAACTGACGAACACTGGACAGTTGTTTCTTTCTCTTATTACATTCTTTAGAAGTGAGCTGCCCAGTGCTTTCTGGTTTTCAACGATTGTTCGCTTACGTCTGTTCGTGATCCCAATAACACTTAACAAACGCCACAAACCCTCAATACTGATATCTATTATGTGGTCACTAGTTACAAACTTCGAGAAAGAGTTCTGGCATTCTTGTGAGAAGCCGTAACCGTTTCAACTGTGTTGGATATGAGTCATCTACCCATTTAAGACAAAACAAGATGTCTACTCAATGTCGCGAATTGATTGGAGTTGGTCATGAAAACTATATGATGTCAGTTCAGTTGCTTAAAGATTGAGCTGTTGTCAAGATAGCTGAAAGTTTTGGATTAGACCTCAGGTGAGGTCATGAGTGCTAATTGCTGAGGTGTCCTAGGATATGGTAACAATATGATGTTGACATAAAAAGTAAAGAAATCAAGGAATAAGTTGCACTCCAATCTGTCTATATGATGTTTACAAACTGTGAAAATTACGCAATAACTTTTTAGCAGTAGTTATTGGTGATAAATGTCTTGATAGGACTGGATTGTTTAGCTATATTTCTATGGCTTCGGTATTTTACTGGCTGGTACACAGTTCCAATAAAAACTATTCATAAATCATGTAGTGCATAAGTCTCGTCGCATACTACACTTATTCACTCAATTTTCATTTTAAAACAAACGACCGTCAATTATATTAGGTAGTTAGAGGCAGTTAGGAGGAAAATCTAGACCTAAATTTCGTGCTATATAGCACTCGTCAGTAAAGTGTACCTTTAATCTCAAGAGAACAGATTCTCCCATAGGGATTCATACCCGTATCAACCAACTTCACGATTTGAGAAGTTACCACTGAACTGTTCGGGTCGTGACTGAACTCCTGTAGGACAGAAACATTCACGTTGATTGTTCATTGAATAGTAATCAGTGTCATGATTATCTAGTCCCTATTTCTAGTGGTTTTTTGGTTATGCGTCATATAAATTAATTTATACTCCGAACACTGAGCACTAAACAAACGTTAAACGATTTCATATTGAATGTATAACGTTATAACTACAAATGTTTACTGACGTATAATCATTTACCCACCATTATTGTAATGAAGAATGTGGGTGAGCAAAAGAGAAGGATTTTCGGTTACTTTAGGATCTTCATTTTTATCCTTGAATAATCATCTAACTAAATATTCTACCCTGACTGATTAGTGTGCTCATAAATGGTGACTCTCATCCCCTGACAACATATTCCATTTGTTCATCCGTTTCTATTTGTTGTAATCAATTAGGTTAGTTCCATGAGTAAATTATTTTGCCCACAACCGTTATTGTAGTAATGTCAACAGGATCATCGTGATACAAGATAAGCTGATAAGCAATAAAACATATAGGTAAAAACAATGTATATGAATTAATTGTGAATACTGAAATATTTTTAAAAAAAGGATTAGATGAAGATTTGTATTACTAATACTCTTCTTTTAATTTTGAGTAATCAGTTAAAAAGGTACCACATCATTTAGCATTGATCAAAAGTTATCGAGGAATTGAGTTATATGATAGTTACAGAAGTTTTAAGAAATTACAATTTTAACTGTTTAAAAATCCCCATCAAAATCAAATAGTGTTACACAACAAATGTAAAAAACAACCGACCGCTATACAAAGAAGAAGAAGGTGAAGAATAAGATTATTATTAGCACTTACAGTTCGTAAAATTGAGAGGGGTCCTAAGATCATTGAAGAATAGGAGAATGAACATGAATCTTGTACACAGATAACCGAATTGAAATTTCTATAGCTTCAGGTGAGAACGAGTTCCTCTCCCAAATCTTCGAGCCAATTCTTTCAGTTTAGTATATAATCTTGGTGGCATATGACTAGAATTGACGATATGTTCAAGGGCTGAACAAGTTTGTATTCGAAGTCATTTATCAACTACCTAAAACGGAATGAAAATATCTTTCATTACACGAATTCGTACATAATGTCCTTACATCAAACTCTGCCTGTAGCTCTTCTCGAGTTACTGCCGTTCCCAAGCCCGGGTAAAGGAGGAGGGTTGGGCATGGGGTTAGCGACCGCATCCCGTAGAAAACTAACTCGCTAAAAAAACGCTAATCAGAAAAAAATAATTCAAACCATTTAAACGCTGCCCTGGGAGTTAGAAGGTCTTCATTTAGAAGAATTATGACGCCTCATGGTGAAAGCCGAGCTCCTTCGGAAGACACGAGGCCGATGCCCCTTCTAACAACCAGAGCAACAATTTTTATAGGTACATGGAACGTTCGAACAATGTGGGAAACCGGGAAGACCAGTCAAATAGCAATGGAAATGAGGAGCTACAACTTGGCAGTACTGGGAATCAGCGAAACCCACTGGACCCAAGCTGGACAGAAAAGACTAGCTACGGGAGAGATGCTGTTATACTCCGGTCACGAAGAGGACAATGCTCCACACACTCAGGGAGTCGCTCTTATGCTGTCCAAAGTAGCACGAAATGCACTTGTAGGATGGGAATCTCACGGATCCAGAATCATCAAAGTATCATTCCAAACGAAGAAAGAGGGGATCTTAATGAATATTATCCAATGTTATGCACCCACCAATGATAGCAACGACGACATTAAAGATCAATTCTACGAGCGGCTGCAGTCAATCATAGAGAAATGCCCAAGGAAGGACCTAACTATTCTGATGGGAGATCTAAATGCTAAAGTCAGAATAGACAACACTGGACATGAAGATATTATGGGACGACATTGACTGGGAGAAAGAAACGAAAATGGAGAAAGATTTGCAAATCTATGTGCATTCAACAAATTGGTCATAGGAGGCACAATATTTCCACGCAAGCGTATACACAAAGCTACATGGATCTCACCGGACCACACCACAGAGAACCAGATAGATCATATTTGCATCAACAAAAAATTCCGAAGGACAACGGAAGATGTGAGAACCAAGAGAGGAGCTGACGTAGCTTCAGATCACCACCTAGTTGTAGCCAATTTAAAACTGAAGCTAAAGAAGAACTGGAGAACTGGACAAACAGTATTACAAAGGTTCAATACAGCCTTCCTTCGAGATACTGACAAACTCAATGAATTCAAGATAGCTCTCAACAACAGGTTCCAAGCCTTACAGGATCTACTGAAGGAAGAAGAAACTACTATGGAGGACAACTGGAAAGGTATTAAAGAAGCATTAACTTCAACGTGTCAAGAGGTTCTGGGCGGCAAGAAGCATCATCATAAGGAATGGATCTCTGTAGAGACACTGGGCAAGATCAAAGAAAGGAAGAACAAGAAGATAGCAATTAACAACAGCCGATCACGAGCAGAGAAGCTCAAAGCACAAGCTGAGTACACAGAAGCAAACAAGCAAGTGAAGTGAGACATTAGAGCCGACAAGCAGAAATATGTGGGAGAACTAGCAAGGACGGCGGAAAAAACTGCATGAGAATGAAATATGAAACAGCTTTACGATACAACGAAGAAACGAGCGGGGAAATATAATAAATCAGAGAGACCGGTCAAAGACAAAGAAGGCAAGCCAATCACTGAAATTCAACAACAGCGGAACAGATGGGTAGAGTTCTTCGAGGAAATCCTGAATAGGCGGGCTCCAACGAATCCACCGGACATCGAAGCAGCACACACAGATCTTCCTATAGATGTCGACAAACCAACGACGGAAGAAATCAGAATGATCATCCGACAAACCAAGAGTGGGAAAGCAGCAGGAATCGACGACACAGCAGTTGAAGCACCGAAGTCAGACATCGAAGTAACTATAACCATGCTTCACCTTCTATTCAAAAAGATTTGGTAGGATGAACAAGTGGACTGGAAAGAAGAACACCTCATCAAGATTCCAAAGAAAGATCTGAGCAAATGTGAAAACTACAAAGGCATTACACTACTGTCAGTACCAGGGAAAGTCTTTAACAGAGTGTTGCTGAACCGGATGAAAGACACAGTAGACGCCCAACTTCGAGATCAACAAGCTGGATTCCTTAAGGATCGATCGTGCACAGACTAAATCGCAACACTACGGATCATCGTCGAATAATCAGTTGAGTGGAACTCGTCACTGTACATCAACTTCATTGATTATGAAATGGCATTTGACAGTGTAGATCGGAGAACGTTATGGAAACTTCTGTGACACTACGGAGTTCCTGAGAAGATTGTCAATATTATCCGGAACTCATACGACGGACTACAATGCAAAGTCGTGCATGGAGGACAGCTGACAGATGCATTCCAAGTAAGGACCGGAGTCAGACAAGGCTGTCTACTCTCTTCCTTCCTCCTTCTTCTGGTGGTCGACTGGATTATGAAGACCTCGACATCTGAAGGAAAACACGGAATACAATGGACAGCTCAGAACCAATTAGACGATTTGGACTTCTCAGATGACCTAGCCCTCCTATCGCATACACACGAACGAATGCAGGCAAAGACAGCCAGTGTAGCAGCAGTCTCTGCATCAGTAGGCCTCAGCATACACAAGGAG